AGCCGCAGCAGAAGTCGTCTGTCACCAAGAAAGTCTACCAGTTCGACCAAAGCTTCAACCCGCAGGGAGCAGTGGAGGTCACCGCGGAGAAGAGGCTGCCGCCGCCTTTCCAGCTCAACCCTGAATACATTCCCCAGCAGAGTAAAAACCTGCCCCAGGAGCTGGTCAGCCCGAGGTCCTACCGCGGGTACCCTCCCGTGGAGCACATATTCTCCTTCTCGCAGCCCTCTGTGAACGAGGAGGCGGTGGCCGCCCCCTTTTTTTTTTTTGCTCGGCCGGGCTTCTTGCGGCGGGCGGATTCCTTGGCCAGCTCCACTGAGATGTCCATGTTCAGGAGAGTCAGCGAGCCCCACGAGCTGCCCCCGGGCGACAGGTATGGCCGGCCCCCGTACCGAGGCGCTGCAGAGCGCCAGGGCAGTATGTCGGTCTCCGAGTCGCAGTTCCTCAAGAGGAACGGCAGGTATGAGGACGAGCATCCTTCCTACCAAGAAGTGAAAGCCCAGACTGGCAGCTTCCCAGTTAAAAACCTGACCCAAAGGAGGCCGTTGTCTGCAAGAAGCTACAGTACAGAGAGTTACGGCACATCCCAAACGAGGCCGGTTTCAGCGAGGCCTACAATGGCAGGTCTGCTGGGAAAGACCGTCAGACTATAACTTGGGTAACTATGGCGACAAGCCTTCCGATAACAGTGATATAAAGACAAGGCCTACCCCTGTGAAGGGAAATGAGAGCTGTGCTAAAATGCCCGCTGACTGGAGACAACAGCTACTTAGACATATAGAAGCTAGAAGGTTAGACAGGGTATGTTTGGCATTTCTCTGCAATTAATGCCTTTAGTTGTGTGTTTCGGGATGTCGAAAAATATTCGCACGCGCAAGTGGTGACCACCAGAATTCCCAGTAACGAAGTCCCTGCGTCAGTGTTGGAGGAACGGGCCCGCAGAGTGAGGGGCCTGGGGGTGCTCCCAGAGTGAGGGGGTCCCCGGGGAACAAATGATAATGAGCTCTGCACGAGTCACGTCGCACACGTTACCCGTGTAGCAGCCACTGCAGCACTGTCCAAAATAATAAACGGCGTAAAAATCCCTCATTTTACTGACACGTGTGAATGTGCTGCTGAGGTAACGATTTGAGAGCGTTAAAAGATTGCCAGGTGCAGCTTTGCAGTAAAAGGCAATAAAGGAAACCGTCACAGATTAAAAAAAAAAGTAGAATCATGGGTTTTAGCTTTCATATCCCTGTTAGTGGAGGGGATTTAAAGGTCTCTCTTAACTCTGAGAATACACACTGGGTATGCACTGCCGCTGCTTTTAACAAGGAATATGGTTGCTACTCCTTTTAGCTGTAGGAAGTTGTGCTTATTTGCCTTCTATACAAAACCATACAAGTGCATGATTTCAGTCGTGATCTTGACTATTTAATGACCTACTCCGTTATTCAGATTTACTTCGTAATCTGAAGTGGTTGTGAAAAATTGCTGTCACAAAATGCATTGAGTGAGTCTCAAAATGTGTCCGTATACCTATTTTACGCTAGATACTCATGGGTTTGGTGCTAATATGTTCATTGCCTTCCAGTTGCTGGGGTGTGGTGCATATTAAAATATCATTAAGGCTCGGATGGGTAAACTTTAAAAAACAGCTTGAAAGATGAAGTTTTTTTTCCTGACTTCGGCTGTTTTTCTTGTGTTGTGTCAAACCGATTGGAAAATACCTAAGAGCTAGGCAAAACAGTGCGCCCCAAGCCGAGATGTTTCTGGTGGAAATAAACACTTCCCAGATGTTGGTTGTGGAAGAAATATCTTTACACTTAGTTTACAATGGGCGTTTGCTTAAGAAACCCCTTAGCTCACGGAAAGCTGGTTTTATCTAGTTAAACTCAACTAGATTTTATCGAGCTAAGCTGAGTCCTTAGCGCTACCCAGAGGTGCCAGCGAGCTGGTTGCCAGTTGTTTTGCAAAGATGATAAGCAAAGCCCTAAGAAGCTGGGCTGTCTGCTGGAGCTCTGGCAGGTGGGGACGCCGGGCTGCGTGAGACCTTGTCCTGCTGGGTCTGACCCAACCCAAGCCGGTCCCTCCTGCCAACCGGGGAGCAGCTTGGGAGGTGGCACAGAGCCACCTTGCTCAGGGCTTTTTCTCTGCCCTTGGTGCTCTTTTTATGCCAGAAACACTTTTTTTTTTTTTTGCCCTGGCCCGGTTGCGCAGACATTCCAAAAATCTGGCCATATTTGCCAAATAGAGACTTGTACCATTGTTATGTCCTGCAATTTCTAAACGACAGATAACGACATATTCATCTGCTGTCAGCGTTGAAGTCTTTTATGGTATCCATTTTATGTATAACTAGCGATGTATTTGCTTCCGTGTGACCCAGTGCATGCCTCAAGAAGCTATTTATTTCTCGGTACTGTTCGTTTGCTTAAAACTAAAACTTTGTGAAATTAACCATATATGTGTGATACTTAATTCGATGAGCATGTGTGTTCATATCCTGTCACGTGGTTGTTTCCTCTACTCAGACCGCTGCTTACAAACACAACACAGTTAGCCTTGGCATGCTGCACTCTGGAGGTTTTTCAGCAATGCATGCCGGCCGAAGCATGACTTTAAACTTGCAGACTAAAACTAAATTTGAAAACCAAATGCTTCAAGAGCTACCTCTACCGAAAGTAAGTATGGGATAGCCAGCCTACGCCAGCATTACAAAATAAATTAATGATTCTCCTTGCTTTTTTTTCCCGATTTAGCTTTTGCCTCTTATTCATGCTTATACTTTACACAATCCAAAAAGCAAAGATGACAGTAATACACTTTTCCTACTTGATGGTCTTGCTTTTTGGATTATGTAGCTCCCATGGCTGTCATTACTGCTTTCTGCTCTCGTGTTACAGACCGACGCGACCATTTTCTCAATGACTTAATCTGGAGAACACGTTTTGTTTTGTGACTGTTTGATTATAGAGAAACTAATGCAGAAATGTTTCATGTGCATTTAAGCAGGCTCCGGGGGACAGGGATTTTAATATTTGAGCGTCAATTGGGTGTGCTGTCATAGTTGGTGAGTTTTGAGTACGTGCCTACCACACCTAAACTTCTTTGGAGTACTGCCTGTAGAAAGAAAATAATTTTCTTGGGTTTTTTTTCGCTGTTTGTTTTACAGCCATTAGCAATATATTGTGGATAAGCACATACATACAAAATTACATGCAAACAAAGGTTTGGTGGGAGAAGCCAGAGAGGGACGTTGTTGGAGGGTTGTCAGGGGATGCTGAGCATCGTCACGTCTCTCACTGCAGGCGTCAGTAGCCCTTGGTCCAGATCAGCAGCGTTTTTGCGAGTAATTACACGGGAACAGAGCACAGATGCAGGCACAGAACCGCGATCGTCTGTGCTGTTGATGGCAGGACTGGCCTGGGGCGCGGTTTGGCCTAGGCGGTTTCTGGCTGGGGCTCCGGACCAGGCACTGGCCAGAAATTCCCAAAGAAGGGTTCCAGTGCCTTGTTGGAGAGTTTAGATGCCAGCCTGTTGAGAAGAAGAAGGTAATTTAATAGCAGCAGCGTGACCAGATGGTGCTGGTTGGCCGAGGGACAGCCCTGAGCCCTGCTGAGCTTGTGAGACAGGCGTACGTGTCCCGCGCTGCCTTTCAGACAGAGCCATGGTAGTACTAGTGCTCTCACACACACACACACACACACACATGTTATTGTCAGGTTTCTCCTGCTGTAACTTACTCCCCGTACCCTGTTCGCTTCACTTACCCCTCGCGTCCGGCTGTCCCTGGGTTTAAACGAGTCCTGCTGTTGGTGTGTGCTTCTCTGTTGTTGGTTGATGACATCCAGGTCAGACCTTGCGCGTAGGTGTGTGTGCGTTTGGACACGGACAGCTTCTCCGTGTTGGTCCTGCTGCCGTTTTTTCTTTCACAAATTTGTTTGTCTGCTTGGGTACATACAAATTTTTGTCACAAGTCCTTGAAACAAGTCCATTTGACATCAGCTCCCGATACCGGCACTGTTTCTCTGCACACATTTAGGAGTAAGGGATTATATATCGCTTTAAGAGTTTGAGGCTGCAGATGAATACGGGTACTAATGTATGGATGTCCGAAGAAATTAATGAAACTGCTCAGAGTGACATATTTCGGGGTGTGTGAATTATTCTGCTTTATATTTCACCAGCATTTCATTGCTCCATACCCATATAAAATGTGATGCTGAACTGCATGAAAGGGGGTGTGTTCTCTTACTGTGCTGTTGAAGCAGTGAAAAATTGTCAATGAGCAAATAATATGAATGTTTAGTATTGTTTAATTTTATTCCTTCTAAAGGGTTTGTATTTCTTAATGAATCCAGGCCACAGCAGCTTAATATTTACCTCTTCCTCATCTTTCTTGTGGCCTAGATTCAAGAGAGTAATGAGTGAGGTCTAATTGTCCAGTGGAAGATCAGGAAATCCAGTACAACAATTGCTTGTTTTGAGAAAGTTGATTACATCGGTTCTACTCCATGTATAAAATGTTGGAACAGCTGCTTTTCATTTTTGGCCCAAGACTTAACAGATACGTGGTTTGCAGTCTGTCTTACAGGGAGCTCTGTAAATCAATAGTATTGCAAGTAGGCAAATTCATTTCACTGCAGAAAATTAAAACTAACCACATAATTTTCCAATTTATTGAGAAAACAGCATATATTTTGTTGTCCATTTTGAGTGCGAACTCACCTCTGCAGATTAGTCAGTCACTTATAAAACCAGGACTTTTCAGAAGGATGCTTTTGGATGCATCCATCCTATGGTTGTTTTAAAAGTTGGGAGTTTGGGGCACGGTCCCACCTCCTTTTAGGAATAGTCAGCATGTTCACTTAGGAGGGAAAAATGAAGTTCCCATGGGAAGCTGCCGCAGCGATTGCCGCTGTCTCTGTGGGATGAGGGCTGCGTGTTTGCTACCTTCCTCTTGCGGAAGGTGAGCAGGTTTCCAGTCCGGCCCTGGGCTGTGACTGGGTGTGACTCTGGAAGGGATGACAGAGATGATGGCTTTGCTTTTCTTTTCCTTTTCTTTTCCTTTTTTTTCCTTTTTTTTCTTTTTTTTTTATTTTTTCCTACTCCTCAGAGCAGAATTTTTTTGCAGTTGCACTTTTTCATTTTAGAAGCTGTTCTCTGCCATCTTTCTCAGCTGATGAACCCTCCGGTTCCGTGGGGCCATACAGCAAACGGAGCAGAACTCCTCATTCATGAGCTGCTGTAGGCACAGAGAGCCCCACCTGGGCTCAGACCAGAACCCGGATTCTGCTCGATGGACAAAGGGGCTCCTGGACAGCTCCTGGTCCTGGATGCTCTCCGGACCCAAAGGATTAAGAACCACATCAGCAGGTTTCCAGGCATCCCGCGCCGGGCTGGGATTTTCCGGCGTTGGAGCAGATCCTGTCGTCTTGAGGGAGCAGCAGCACTGCAGCATCAGGCACTGGGACCAGCTGAGCTGGGAGGGATAGGCTAGGGAAAATGGGCTGAGGTCGGTCGCATTTTTTTCCATTTTTAGTGCGTGCAAACTCTACAAGGAGATCTTGTAGCTTGGAAGGAGGAGATGTTTCCTCTAGTGGTTTTTAATAAAAGGAAAATCATGTCTTTCCTGATTTTTCCACACGACTTCTTGAATGTTGAGAGAATTATGATGAAAGTTTTCTTTGCTTTTTAAATAATTAAGGTTGATTTATTTAATTTTTTTTTTATTTAACCTCTGAGGAGTATGATTTAAATCACAGTCGCTTCTATTTGCTTTTAAGGACTTCTTAAAGCTAGCATAAAAGAAAGTTCTTAAGTGACTGGTTACCAGCTTTAATATGTCAAAGCAACAGTTGCATTTGTTCTTCAGTCATCTAAAGAAGTGTTTTGTGATTTTTTTTAATTTTTAATCTAAGCTGAAGAAATTACTTGAATGACAGAGGGAAAAAATAGATTTTTTTTTTTCAAATTAGCATTAATTACAACTGACTAGGCAGTTAACTGACCAAGCACTACGTAATGCTAAGTGCTGTCAGTGGTAGTACAATGTTGGCATTTTGGAAAGTCTGACACAAAAAGCCGTATCTATTTTAGGAGAATTTGCAACTAGGGTAGAGACATGCACAGAAAATCAGGATGGGATAGAAAAGGTACACACGTCCTCAAAAGTACTGAAAACAGGAGTAAAATAATCAGGGGGAAAAGTGACAAAGAAGAAACATGTACAAAAGGAGAGAAAAGTGGGTAATAATAAAAAGTATCCAGCTCATTTAGGAGACTTTATACGTGCATTATGTCTGTTCATATTCAGGAAAATATTTAATTACTGGTTAATATTGCACCTGTGATATCCTCTTAGCTTAGAACAAAGGCAGCCACAGCCTAGAGAGAGGTGTACGCAGAGCCTAGCGCCAGGGAACAGGTTCAGTATCGCCATTAAGGAGTATTTTCTGCAGAAAATATAAGCATATAATTTAATCTTGGTGGCCAATACTTAATAAAAGAAGTTTTTGGTGCTTGAATGACCAATATGAAAATGTTAACTGAGGTGATTAATGGCAGACTGCACGTTTAGATATGGAACGTTGCCAAAATTTGTGTCTCTGAAAATAATGAGTTCACGTTAAATCGATTTTCTCTCGTCATTCATTATTCTCATTATTTCTCTTGGGTATCTTTGAAGATTCTCCTGCTTGCGGAGAGTCCCACAGCAATACGATTGCACGCTAAACAAAATGCTGTAGAAATTTAAAAAAAAAAAAAAGATTTCCATTTTTGGCAATAGCGTGTCGTGGTGTTAACTGGGTTGATTGCTGAAATAAATACGAAGAGAGACTTTTCTTGTCACGGTGTGAAACAGTGACTAAAGGCTGCCCTACCATTTCTGCAACAGACCCCGTCGCAGCAGAGCAGCGTTCTGGACAACGGGCAGGAGGAGGTGGCCGTTGGCAGCCAGTGGAACCCCTACCCGCTGGGCCGGCGGGACGTGCCCCCCGACACCGTCACCAAGAAGGTAAGCGGCGCCAGTGGAGCCGGGCTTGGGCTGCTTTGTTTTCCCAGCTGGAAGGAGGAGAAGGGGTTAAGGAGGAGAGCCTTGGGGCGCATGGGTTCGTTTCCAAATTTGAAGTGATGATGCCACAAATCATAGAACAGAATCATAGAATCACAGAATCACAGAACTGTAGAATGTGTTGGGCTGGAAGGGACCCTTAAAGGCCATCTAGTCCAACCACAGCAGTGAGCAGGGCCATCTTCAACTCCATCAGGTTGCTCAGAGCCCCATCCAGCCTGACCTTGGATGTCTCCAGGGATGGAGCCTCCACCAGCTCTCTGGGCAACCTGTGCCGGTGTCTCACCACCCTCATTGTAAAGAATTTTTTTTTTTCTGAATCTGCCCTGCTCACCTGAAGGGTGCTGGTCTCATGCCTGGTTTTGTGCATCGCCGTGCAGGTGCTAAGAGTTAACAGCTATAGTTAGCTGTTATAGGCGGGTGTATTCCTGCACCTCTCAGACGGCCATCAGCTGCCTCTTGTCCTGAAAAGTCCTCGTTCAGATGTTTCATTTCAATTGCATTCTTCAGTTCATGGCAAAACAGAAATGTGTTGATATGACGGCCAGGCTGATGTCTGGAAAGTCACAGGTGTTTTGGCAGGGACATCCTAGGCACCCTTCATTTGCTGATAACCTCGCTAGAAAGGGTTCTAATTCCCAGTGGCCCTAGATACGAAGTTCCAGTGCTTGGATCTGGCCTGTTGCTGTGAACGGAAGCTCTGTTCACGGGCTGAGAAACTTCCGTTTTGAGATGCTCTTAGCCTAAAGCTGGAGAGTGGATGATCCTGAGAAGCCACTGTGTTTGCAGTCACCTTTAGAAGGTGGAGCCACACGTTCACGCAGTGATAATTGCATTGACTGGTCCCTGTATGGAGACCGGTCCTCCTCGTTCCTGAACGAACTCTTAGGAGTGAAAGAAACCAATGTGAAAGTCAGAACATGCGCTCCAGTAAATTCTGTAGTGTGATCAGCTGCCCGCACTGATGAGGCATGTACCTCTCTGCTGGCTTCACATCTTGTGTAGGACAGCTGGAGCAGCGGTAGCCCTTGCCTTCCTGCAAAAGTAGCGACAAGAGGTAGGCACATACGAGAGAATCGCTTGGTGATGGGAGACACCCAGAGGCTCCTTCCCAGGCCCAGAAGGGTGAGGAGGAGCGTGCCCTCGCGTTCTTGGCTCTGACAGCCCAGTTATTCGAAGGGTTTCTTTATCCTCTGATATGCAAGAAACTAGGATAAGACATTGAAGAGGAGTCACCACTTACCTTCTCCAGCGTGGTGGGATAAAGCTCGATTTATCCATTCACGTGATCTAACACCATTTATGTCTTGCGTTTGTGCGTTGTCCATGTTACTGTAGTAAGAAACTGCAGATTCTGTTTCTTTCTGAATATTTCACTATCTCGCTGCTCAGATAGGGTAAGTACAAACCTTGCATAACCGTACTGAAATCTGCTTAACTCACTGGAGCCATCCATTGGTACGCCGTTGTCAGCTACTTTAATTATACTGTAAATATTGGACTCTGAGCTGAAAATAATTAACTTTTGTGGTGGATGTTAAAGAATGCAAAGAATACAAATGAAATTGGGGAAGCAGTCTGCATAATGTCTGCAGAACAAATAATCCGAATTTCTCAGAAAGGCAGCTTACCCACCTCCAGCAAGAGCCACAGTGTGAATACACAAGAAGCAGTGATACAATCTCTTCAAAGTCTGTTAACAGGAGTGAGAAAATAAGTTCTGAAAATTGTTTACCCACCATCCTCAGGAGGTGGTTTGCAACTCTGCTGGAACGACAATGCTAATCATTCTCCATTGAAAAACGCCCTCGAATGCCTTGGTTTCCCAGCATCTGGGGATTAAAATACAGCAATTATTTGAAGTCGCACTCAGGAAGTCTTCTATGGACGTTCCATGTAACAAACAAATTCTGTTGATGAAAATTGTAGCGTGCACTGGGGTTTTCCACCAGTAGAACTGTACTGGTGTCAACAGGCTCCTGTGGAGCAGAGTCACTTCACGGTGGAGCTCTACTGAGGGGGTCACTGGAAAGGGAGTTGGGATGGGTTTTTCCAAGGGGAAAGGTGTGTGCTGTAGAAGGACTGTGTCCTCAGGCTGATGTAGTACGTATATGGACACAGTAACATGTGTTCTTAAATTATCCACACGTAGAGGGCTAAAATACATGTAGTGGTGGCTAATTATGTCCATTAGGATGGGAACTCTACCTGATAACCACTACATGGTTGTATGGGGTGTGAGGAATTGTTTCCATCCGTTTTGCTGTTCAGAATCCAGGTTAAATTGCAATTTTATTTAAAGTGTGATCATCTTTGTGATCATCCCCTAATTGGTGGGCTCCTTGTCATATAGAAAAGTTGCATATTTTAATCTTGCAATTGGATGATCCAACGATGTATTAAAAGACTACAGGATTTTTTTACTTCCTGGCAGACAACTTTTTCTGTCAGAAAACAAGACACAAGTCAGCTATGTGCCTGATCAAATCAGTTGTATTCTGAGCTAGCTGCTCCTCCGTAAAAAAGGAAAGGGTAGAAATGTGTCAGGGGATCACTGGAGAGGAACTGCTCTTCAAAAAGAGAGGTTGAAGAGTCAGAACAAAGGTGGAAAATGAAGAGACTTGAGGCCGGCCAGCCTGGCCGCGGGGTGACGACCCTCTAGGAGGACGAGCAACGTGGTTTTGGGGACGCGCGGGACGGTGTTAGTTGGGATCTTTTGCTGCAGGATGGCAGCAGCCCACGTGAAGGCTGAAGCCCCCCAAACTCTGGGAGGTCCCTGCACAGACTGTGACGGTCTCAGTGGGTGTGGAAGGAGCACATGCAGTGGAACTGGCGCAAGGCAGCTGCCTCAGAACCGGGACGTACACAAGTGAGTCGCCATTTCTCTCCATTTCTGACTTGGGAGTATCTCTGTTAGCCATGACTGAGAGGTCGGAGGCTCCTACTTCGTTTCCAGCATCTGCTCGTCCGTACAGAGGTCTTCTAACCCAACAAGATTTGAAGTTTTTCAGTGAAGAAGCGCAGGTTTTTTTTTTGTATTTAAAATAGATGTCTTCCTCTGCTGCAGACAACACAGCTGCTGTGGACTGCAGTGCTGGATATGGGATTACACCTGGGGCAAAGAGTTCATGAGATTCTGCTTTATTTGGGGTCCTCTTGCGATGGGTATGACACAACGCGAAGCACAGAACCATGCCCCACGCGGCCGCCTGCTCACCTCTCCGCTGTGCTGGATGATGCAGATTCAGGAACCCGCTGCCAACACGGCTTCTTGCCCCGTGGGAGTTCATGAATGGCTAAAACGTCTGTCTTGAGCTTTCTTCTTCTCTTCTGATCTTGGTTGAATGCAAGATCTCTCTGCCCCATGAAGTGGGATGATGGCAGCACAGCCTTTCCCAGGTTGTTCTTGGAGTGAGGCTCTTAAGCACTTCCCTGGGCAGAGGTGAGCTCTACTGTCAGAAGAGTTTGAGGATTGAAGGTTTGGCCATGAAGAGGAAGAGATTTTTTTGTCATCACTCACTTTGAGACTATCCCTCCTGTACTCAAATGGAGAACTTTCAGATATATTCTGCCTAGTCCTTCAGGTGTCGTCAGCAAAACAGTGAGATGGAGCAGAAGGTTTTGGCTCACAGTACCTGCATGTCTTGGTGGGATTCTGTTTTCAGTGACGTGAGGCTCCCCCATGGCATCTGTGTCGACGATGTGTTTTGCAGACAAATCTTGGGAATCCATTAAGATGGATTTTTGCTAGGGCAACAAGCAGTTCATTCTAATGCCCTGGCTGCTATAACTTCCGAGGCCAGATGGCTGGCTGGTGCGTAAGATCTCTTGCCGTACTGAATTTCTTCTCCTCTAAAATACAGTCTCACAACTGGTGACTCTTGCACCCAGGATCATAAAGGTTCAGTAGTACTGAGGATTAGAGCTCTGAGGTGAGACACAGCGGTGATGTGTCAGTGGATGGCGTGAACCTGGTGTGAAACGTCATTTGAATAGGTCTGTTTTGTCCGTAGAGACTTGCAGATACTATGATACGCAGCCCTAATGCTCTTCCGCGTTCAAATAATAGCCCTGCCTGGTGGGTGCCCATAGTCTGAAAGCTCCCGGTAGCAACAGAGTGATATTTCATGACGGGAGTAATATTTGATCATACAAGCATGAAGGGCTAAGTTGCATAGAATTATTGATAAGCAACAGCGTCAGAATCCTGTAAAAAAATAGAAAATTCTCAACTGAATTTATTTTGCGATGCTTTGCCTTGAACTTTTATGTAGTTCATGTGCCCACACAGAGACTGTGGATTGAAGAATAAGCAGGGATTCAACTTTATCATGTCAAGAAGAGAATACAGAAAGCAAACCTCACCTTTGGGATCCCAGCTGGGAAGGTGAAAGGCAGCAGGGCTGGAGGCTATGGAGGAATGATAGCAGTCAGACTTTTTTTTCTGAATATATGTGTAAATGCATTTTTTTCACTTATATTTACGAAATATTAGAGCTTCAAATGTAAAAGCCACATTCATTCCTAAGACAAGGCATGGGATTTAGTTGATTACGTTTTCCAAGTGCTGTGGCAATAGTGGCCAATATCTGCATTTGGGTTATAAATCTCATTCCAAACTATCCTCAGAAAAAAAAAATAAAATTCCACTATCCTCAGAGTGTGCTATGGTGAATAATCCATGCTACTTTAATTTATTCAATGTTTTACATTGACTTAATATTCTGAGTGGGGGCATATATTACGGTATGAGGAGAAAAATATTTTCTGTTTAAAAAACTTACTGTATATGGGTAATTTCCCTTAAACCTCCTAGGGTCACTAAATGCAACAGCCGTGTCCTTGCTGCTTTTAATCGTGTTTGGGGTTTTTTTCCCAACTGTGGTCAAAAGGCAAACCTCTGGTGTGACTGGAGAGGTTTGCTTTTACTTGACCCTGTAAGTCGTAATAATTGCTTCTTTTCAGCTTCCTGAATTTCTGGCCTAACAGGTTACGTTGCCCACAGGCAGGTAGCCACATCCAGACTTTAATGGGGTCGCAAAGCCTGCAGCACCGCAGCCGCGAGCAGCAGTACGAAGGGAACATGAACAAAGTCACCATCCAGCAGTTCCAGCCACCGCTGCCTATTCAGATCCCCTCTTCGCAAAGCTCCCGGGCACCTCAGACAGGGCGGTGTTTAATCCAAACCAAGGGGCAGAGAAGTACGGACGCCTATCAGGAGCAGGTGAGAAAGCGCGTCTAGAAAATAACCCTGGGCAAAAAGTTCTCTCTTTTTTTTTTGCGCCATGGCCAGGATGGCTGAGCTGGGCAGGCGAGCACCTCCCTGCCCTTCCCCAGCACCCAAGTGGCCAAGCAAAGCCAACTTCTTGGTGTTGTACGGAATTAATTTGCAATTTCTGCCAATTCCCTGGTCGCCGAGCTGGGCGCGTTGGGGAAAGAGGCTACTCTGCCCCAGCTCTGTGCTGGCTGCCCCACAGAAGGCCGGCTGTGCCTCCAGTGCCCCCAGTCTAACAGGAGGAGTTTCTTCGTGAAGTGGCCCGGTCCCTGTTCCATTTGGCTTTAACAATGGCAATAACTGTTGGAGGCACCTGATTTGCAGAATAAGGTGCAGAATCATCAGTAAAGGTTTCTCTTGCATAAAGCATCAGCCAATGCACGCAGGCGGCTCCCTGTGCTGAGCCCCGGAGTATTGCGCTGAGATTCGGAAGTGATTTTGTGTGGCTCCTGCACGTGCTCACAATGCCTCCATGTTCTTAAGCTACGCTGAGGTCATTTTTATTTTATGTTCTGTTACCCAACGCCGTTTAGAGCCACCCTAACAGATCAAGGCAAAATCAGGCAAAAAAAAAAAATAAAACAGAGCGAGCACTGCTTTTCCCCCCCAAAAATGGGGCCAAACACTACATTTTCAGCAATATTTTAAATCCATTTCCTCCTCTTCAGGCCAGAATTTTTAATTTTGGGGATTTTTTTCATCCTTTCCCTGTGTATTTAGGGGGTTTTTTATTAGGTTGAGGCTTTTATTTTGGTTTTTGGGGTTTTTCTTTTCGGAACGTCGCGTCGGCAACCCCGGAGTTTCAACGTAAATTATTTGAAAAAAAATATCCAGGAGATTCAGCACCTCCTGGAAAAATAAAAGCACTCAGGATGAAGCCTCACTGACAGATTTATCCCAACGTTCAGTTGAAGCAATTTGGCCAGTTTTTTCTTTCACAAGTCTAAAGGTTGTTTTTTCTTGAAAATAATTTTTTTAATATATGCAAAGATAGATGCAGCACTGAATATTTTGGTATCATTGCAGCATGATAAAATCACGAAAATAATTTTGGTTTATACCAGTATTGTGCCAACTTTTACCGTGTCATGCACTACAGCTTTGGAGAGGGTCCACTCATCTCGTTAGTGGTGGAAAGGGATGTATGTGAAGAAGATGCCATTGGTTAGAGAGGCTTTAATGTTGGCAGCGACTTACCTTGCTGTATCTTTTTAACCTAGTTTTGTGTGAGGATAGAGAAGAATCCTGGCCTTGGTTTTAGTATCAGTGGTGGAATAAGTGGACAAGGAAATCCGTTCAAACCTTCTGATAAGGTAAGTTGCAAATTTCTCTCTAAATGGTCCGTATTTTAGAGTGCCATGTAGCGGAGACACAGATAACGAGTCACATTTTTGTACACTTCTCTTGTGCATATTCTGTAACTGAAGGAATTTTTCCCATACTTGGCTCTTTTTTTCTGTCAGGGGAGGGCTGTTTGTCCTTATTTTTTCTTTTCCTTTTTTGGTTAATGAAGGTGAGAAAATCAACACAGAAACCATGTGGGCATCTGCCTTACTTCCCATGTACAAGATAATTTTCCTGACTGTTTTCTGGAGAATTGCCTCTCATTGTTTTTATTTTAAGAGTCAACACAGGCCTTGATTAAACTTTCACTGAAGTCATTAGAGGGAATACAAAACCACTAGTAGCATCACGAGGTAGCTGGAATGCCGGGGTTTAAAGCAGCTATATCAAATAAAATCTGTGAATTTATCTGTTCTATGCGGTAAAAAAAAGCTTGTTGACAGACAAGCAGCGGGGGTACCTCTGTGAAACACGTAAGTCTAGATTCTCTGATAATACTGGATTCAGTTTTAGGAGGCAGCCATAGCTGCTGTAAATATTGAGAACGTTTGGTGAATGATGAAGTTACAACTGCCTTTTAATGTCTTCTCCAGAATCTGAGACCTGTGTGCAAAATAGAAAAGTAATTTCCCCACCACTCAGAATTACAACAGAATGCTGATTGGACGTGTGAAATGCACCTGAAAATGTCAGGCTAACACAGTCTGAATTCCTTTAAACTTTATTATTGATAATCCTTGTTTTGAACTTCAAGAATAGTTCCATTCACTGTACATAACTACCAGGCATTTCAACAACCATCCCTTAAAACATCCTCAGTTTTGGTGCCCTTCTTTGTGAGCGCACGCTAGAATTGCACTTTTTAACATCATGGTCTTTTTTTTTTTGAACAGTTTAATGCATGGTTTTAGAACTAAGGTGCACTCCCATAAGTCCATCCCTTGCCTGAAATTATTAAAGAATCTGCCTCCCATGATGATGTGTCTGCTCCAGGACCACATGCAGTGCAGTAACAGCCAGAGCTATACTTAATTTCACCGATAACAGAAATGCAAAATTGTGTAACTAGGGATGGTTCTGTTGAAGGAATTAATAGTTAAGTCATTCACACTTCAGACACTGGGTTCAGGGATGCTCCTGCTGGCCCCTATATCTCAGGGGCTGAATATCAACACGATGTTTTAGGAAATGTTTTTAAACTTCTTTTTTTTCCCCCCTAGAGGAAATAAACAAAGATTATATGTAGATTATGGTATGTGTTATTCTAATAAATTAGTGCTTGCTCCATTGCCGTTGTCCCTGTTATTCTCACCCAGTTCATATTGAACATCATGATGCGGAATCTCCGTTTGGAACAATCACAGAATAATAGAATCACAGAATAATAGAATCACAGAATTGTTGAGGCTGGAAAAAACCTCTGAGATCATCAAGTCCAGCCTATGACCCAACAGCCTCACACTGGTGTCAGGCCATAAGTAGCTAAAGGCTATGGAGAGCTGCTACAAACCCGTACTAGGGTCAGGTCCCAAAGAGATTTTTACGAAGCGTTCAGTGTTCAGCCCACAGCCAGAGCATGCAGTTAGGGAGACACCTGTATTTTGGGAACTAGTTCTTGGTGATAGCATCCTAACCTCTGTTACTTCTGACTTATAGGGTATCTTTGTTACTAGGGTTCAGCCTGACGGACCAGCCTCCAGCCTGCTCCAGCCTGGCGACAAGATCCTCCAGGTACGGGGGGATTTATCCGCTCTGTAACCCAGATGAGTCTTGGCGTCTTACGAGCACGATGCCCGTTTTAAGGGCGCTCTCACGTGGGTTTGTAACGGGGCACTGCTCGCGGTAGTTTTGAAAGCTGGACTTGGGAGGAAGTAACAAAACCACGTGGAAAGAAGCTGGGGATGTGAAAAATCATAGCAGTGTGACAATCTGTCCCCGGGGCTGAGCCGGGTGACACCGATTAAACTCTAAAATAAACACAATCCACATTTTCCACACTGACAGCGCGAGAAGGTGTGGGGAGGCAGGAGCTGTACAGGCAGCTTCGCAATATGACGGAGCAGGACGCATTTATAATTATCACCTTTGCAGCCGATGGTGGGAGGAGTTATACGGTTACCTATTTTTTTTGACAAGATTCTATCTGGCAATATTTGTGCCTCTGTCATTGCCTTGGCATTTCTGAATGTCCCCTCATGGCAAACAACTACTGGATTGTGGAAGCACCTGCGTAACGCACAATCTCAGCTTTTCATTTTCTTTTTTTTTGGTTCTACAAAGTATCGCAGTGAGCTTTTTTAATGGAGGGGCTGTTCCTGAGCATACCTTCCAAAATTTCCTCATTCACAGAAGGTAACGGCTGGCCACGTAGAAAAGGGTTTTCTACCATGTCCTGCCAGGTTGTTTCTTCTTAGTTTTGTCAAGGCCAGAACATGGGTTGCAGCAAAACAAGGTTGCCCGATGGGCACAGGCCAGCAGGAGCTGGGATTTCTCAGGTCTCAGCGTGCGTTCCTAAAATAGAAGCATTTATTTATGTCACCACATTTAAGGTGTGGCTGCGGGTTTTTTTTTGGGGGGGTAGCAAATTTCACTCTCTTAATTTATTCATTTCTCACACTGATGGAGTTTGTTTGACTCCGCACTCTCAGTCATTCTCGTAGGATTTAAGGATCAGTCTTTGCACAGTTTCTCTTTGGTCACTATCAGTGCATCGCTTCATTTTCTTTTTGTTTGCAATTACTTCTACCCGTGTGTATTACCTATTGCCAAGTGTCGATTTATATGGTGGTCCTTGCAAGTCCAGAAGCCCGCAGCCCCGCTGGGAGCCAAATGGTTGTATCTTTCCTTTCTTTGTCATAAGCTCTTGAGTTATTTATTTGATAAGTGGTTTTTCTGTTATAAAACCAGCAGCAGTTTTACCAGGCGGCTTTTAAGGAGGGACACAGTCATACAGCTGTTAAGGCTGTCGGCAAGGAGAGAGCGGCTCCATCAGCTGTGTCGTAGGATTTTGCCACCGTACGGCAAAGGCTGCCCTTTCAGCTCTGAGAAATATTGTTTCGGTGCCCCCACAATTCAGCTAAAGCCATTCTCTCTGTCTAACCGTTAGAACTAAATAGTAACTCAAGGTGTAAACATGTAGCATATTTTGTGGGCAACACAAGACCGCGGCAGGAATGAAAGGAGTAGATTCCAACTATCATTTATTTACATGTTGAATAACAAATCCCTCTGGCTGTGGCCTGCTCAGGTATTTTTGGATGGGTATCACCTCTCCCTCTGAGAAACCTCTCTTGTAGAAAAGAGATTTCTTTGTTAGAGCCGAACCTGCACGTTTCCCTGCGCCCCTCCCTGCGGCTTGGCTGTGTGGAGGGGAGGAGGCAGAGCTGGCCCGCTCTCAGCTTTGTTCACAGGTTCTTTTATGGTTATTTTTTTTTCCGAATGAGCAGCACAGCTCTCACGCCTAGTAAGTCGTGTGGTGAATAAGCTGCATCTTCTTCCATTTCCCTCTGAATTACGTCAGAGTCTGAGCTGACCTCCAAACTGAACGCCCAATGCCTTTGAAACTTCCCCTGCCTGAAATCTGTGTTCCTGTTCCTCAGAGCAAGTCTGTTTTATTGTCTGAACAAAAGCGGTGGCTCGGATGCTGCCTTTCCTCTGTGCCCTGTGCCTGCCCGTGGCTGTTCCTGCGCAGGCGTCAGTGCTGCAACTCGCAGCAGCCTTGGAGCAGAAACCTTCCAGTGCAAGGAAAGCACGAGCACGCTCACGGGCTTCCCGTTCAGAAACCACTGCAGAGGCATGTGGCAGTGCTTCTTTTGGCTGAGTTCTGGGCTGGGCAGCCTTTGATCCAGCAGAGGGCACGTCCAGGGGAGGATCGTAACTGAGACGCCGCAGCGGGTGAGGTGGGGAGATGCAAGAGTCCCGGAGAGCTCTGGCAGCCCCTTGGCCATGCCAGCTGCTGGAAAGAATCACAAAATCAGAATCCTAGGGTCAGTATGGTTGGAAAAGACCTTCGAGATTATCAAGTCCAACTGTTACCTAATTCTAGCAGGCCCACTTCTAACCCACGTCCCTGAGCACCGCATCTAGACACCCAAGGGTGAGGATTCAACCAGTGCCCTGGGCAGCCTGGCCCAGTCTTTAATAACCCTTTCTGTGTACGAGTTTTTCCTAATGTCCAGCCTAAACCTCCTCTGGTGTAACTTGAAGCTATTTCTTCCTGTCCTATCACTGGTAACTTGTGAGAAGAGATGGATCCCACCTCTCTTCCCACTCCTGCCAGGAAGCTGCAGAGAGCGATGAGGTCTCCCCTCAGCCTCCTCTGCTCCAGCCGAACAGCCCCAGGTCCCTCAGCCGCTCCTCAGCACACTTGGTCTCCAGACCCTTGCCCAGCTCCATTGCCCTCTGAAGGGCAGCTCTTGAAGTCTGTCTTCCCCACGTAACGTGGCCTTGTTTGGATTTGTTGGGGCCAAGAAGATCAGAGAATCATGGAGCTATAGAACGATAGAATCACAGAATCATCGACTGGTTTGAGCTAGAAGGGACATTTACAGGTCATCTAGTCCAACCCCAGCAGTGAGCAGGGACATCTTCAACTCCATCAGGTTGCTCAGAGCCCCATCCAGCCTGACCTTGGATGTCTCCAGGGATGGAGCCCCCACCACCTCTCTGGGCAACCTGTGCCAGTGTCTCACCACCATCATCATCAAAACTTTATTCCTTACATCCAGTCCACATTCATATCCTTCAGGCTTCACCACGTTTGAAACTCTTAAATGCCGGAGTCATTGTTTCCTCAGAAAGCAGGTGGAATGTCGTAGAGTCACAGAATAATTTAAGTTGGAAAGGACCCCCTGGAGGTCATCGAGTCCAGTCCCTGCTCGGAGCAGGACTTGTCCAACCTGTGTATACAGGCAAAAACTCCAGTTTGTGGGAAATCTTCATAGAACTGTGATTTATTTTAGCCTTGTTTTTAATTTTCCTGTGTCCCTTTGCTCCCCTAAAACAAAGACACGGAACAGAGCCTCACCTCATCCCATTTCTCTCCTTCTTGTGTTTGTGTTACAGGCGAACGGCCACAGTTTTGTACATATGGAACACGAGAAAGCGGTGTTACTACTGAAGAGTTTCCAGAATACAGTAGACCTAGTTATTCAACGTGAGCTTACTGTCTAAATATTTTTTTATAAATAGTAAATATGTCTAGCCAGATCTAATGTTCAGACAGATTTATACATAGGAGACAAATTTTTGCCAATTGCTGGACCAATGGCAAACAGTAGTGCCAAATGTATAATACTCTATGTTAGTACCAATCACCTTGGGAAAAAAAATATATTAACTATATAAATATATTGTTCATGTGGCTACGTATTAGTTTTAATTGTCAGCCTCTGGCTGTGCATTGGTGCGTTTTTTTAATCAAGTTACTTCTTAAAAGTCGATTTCATATGATTTCAAAACACAGAAGCACATACAAATTCTTTAGGAATTCTGCTGTCCATCAGAAACACTGCCTCAAAGTTGTATATGCCTTTATAAGGATAAAAATATATTAACCTGTACTTCCCATGAGATATTTCTATCATGTCACATACGAAAATATAGAGAAAAGAATATTTTCATAAACACCTCGGAGATGGTATATATTAAATTGAATTTAATAATGTTCATTTATTTTCAATGCAAAGATATTCTATGCCTTATGAAAATACCTGTACATATGCAGTGTGTATAGCTGGCTCCATACTAATTAGTAAAAGTGTCACTAGACAGGGTGAGATAATAAATTAGACCGTCAGCTCTGGGACCTAGACAGAAACAGCCAACACGGAAATCGGTTCCATTCCTTCGGTTCGACACTCGAGGCCGATCCCATGTGAATACACGGACAAATAGCGAGGTTAGAAAGGTATGGCTCACGGGTGGGAGAAAGTTGTGACGGGGGGCAGTGAAAACTCCTCCTGTTGCTGCTGATTTCGTTATTTAACTCTTTCGTTTGAAGTTATTCCAGGCCCTCTTCCTGCATCCCCCATTTATTGTCACGGTGGGTCAGTGCCGGGCTGCAGCCATGGGCTGTGTGGAAGTTCCCAGGCTCTGGGGTTGTTTGCATCTCCTGCCTTCTCCTCAGTCCACGGGAGGGATTAATTTCATTCACGTAAATATGAATGACACACAAATTCCAAGCTGACTCAGCAGATTCCCCGTCACATGAGTTCACCTCACCCATGTTTTCTGGCTGGAAGAGCTCCTGCACCACCGGGGTGGCAACACCCGCTCAGGTACCACGGTGTAACCCTCAAATTTACCATTTGGCTAAATGAGTCGATAATCTCCAAAACATACAGTTAAAGAATTAATGCTTTTCAGTATATTAAAAACCTTCCTTATAGTGCAAGCTGAAAAATTTCGCAAGATCTGGTTCTGGATCATTGTTTGCTCAATTTTTTGCAGCTTTCTGTCGATGGAATTTCATCACTTGCCACCAAAACTGCACAGGCTCCGGCAGAGCCCATCTAAACTTTCCTAACATCTGTGGCTTTCCAGAGGCCAAAATTTCCATTCTCCTTGCCCTTTAATAAAAGAAAGATTTACCTAACATCACATTCAGAAAATTGTCAACGCCTACGCAGCTTTTAGTCAATGATGTCGAGCGGGAATTAGGTCCCTTAACAGACATTTCCTGCACCTCAGATCCTCTGTGGAGAATCACGGTGAAGTCTTAACTCCGCCAGAACTCCACCACCTCTAGGAAGGGGCTGGGGGAGAATTTACGCTCCCAGCTGAAACGTAGAATAAGGAAGCTTTAACACCACCCCCTCCTGCCCCCCCAAACTCCCCTTAGCATTATTTTTGTTCTGAAATGCTGTTTAGCTAGCACCAATATTACAAGCAGTTAAAATTACTTAAATTGGGGTTTTACATTAGTCCTTCAAGATAACTTGCACCTTTTCTCTTTCCTGGGAGGTCTCCTGTGACACCACAGACACACACGTCCCCGTGCTTGCCTTGCGTGTAATTATGATTATGTATTATTATTTATTTATTTATTATTATTTATTAGCTTGGTGCAGATGGGAGGAGGCTGTGAGAGGAATGCCACGGGTACAGCCAGATGTGGCCAGCTTTAGGGCTGGGAGCTGGGAACGCGCGGTTTGGCTTTTTCAGATTTTTTTTAAATTTTTTTCTGTGCAATAATGCTTAACTAATGATCCTCAGGGAAGGGCTAGATGAAAAAGGAAAAAAAGAATAAAGGAAGCCCGTGAGGTAATTCCCCTACCCTTGCTTTACTACAAAAGCTAAAGAAAAAGAGTTGCTTCCCAAATGCTTTTCTTACTCTGAGAAAGCCATTCAGCCCAAAGCCTGGGACCAGGGCTTGCCAGTCTGTCCTTCACCCGTTCCCCCAGGCGCAGGTTGCAGTTTGTATCTGGGCATCGATAAACCAGGATGTTTGGAAGCCAGTTGTTCTTGATAGCGGCCATTTAAGAGCTTCAAATCTGTGCTGCTGTTTTCCAAAAGCTTTATCTTTTTTTTTTTTTTTCACCACATCCATGTCTGCATCTACATTTTGGGGCACGAGGTGGGCTCCCAAGGAGGCCACAGGGGGGCCCAGGCAGGACAAAGCCGGGGGCTGAGCTCTGGAGGACGAGCACGGTGTGTCCGCAGAGCAGCTCAGGAGTCACTGGGACTGAAAAATCCCTGAGGCTTCTGTAGCGCTGGGAGCGTTTTGCAGCTGAACGGGGATAAAAAACCTTGGAAACGGAGCTGCAACAGCCATCACATTTTTAGCTCGTTTAGGGACGCCCCAGAAGTGAAATCACTAACGTTACGGAACACCACTCACCTTCCAAAAATCCAACTGAAAAAGATTACATTGGGAAACATTGAGGAGCTTGGTTTGGAAGCACTTGGAGTGCAGAGACAGATGTTCCTTGGTTAAACCTCTCCGGCTTGTAATAGAGCATTTCATTATCTTAGGAAATTCGGGAAAAAAAGCTGCTTATTTATAGCTCCGTGTGTATAAATATATATAACTGAGAGAGATATATGCAAGGGTAAATGCAAGCAGAGCAGGAGAGGGAACCCATGGGTTAGTGTGTACCAATCCCCTACCCCAGCGCTCCCCCCCAGCCTTCTGCCGGCAAAACTTTGAATTTCGAGCGAGCCCACCAAGAGGCACCATTTCACGTTGAGGCAATTGGAGGTCAGGGTTTATTTCCCTCGTGGTGCGAGTGGAACACAACGTGCCGATACAACTTTCAGGCGAGTAGTTTGGATAGGATATGGACTTACTTGGTGGTTTGGGTTTGGTTTGGAACACCTCCCGTGCGGGGAACGGGGTTGTGGAGGGGGAGCGGTGGCAAGGCCGCCCGCGCTCTGCCCCCCCGGCACCAGCCAACGTCAGTGGCGATGGAAAAGCAAAGTTCAAGAAGCGTTTGTGAATCGTAAGAGTTTGAATTGTTTCTCTCACGGGGAAAAAAAAAATAATAAAAAATAAAGCCTTTTGTCAATCCTCTTCCTGGAGAATTCCCACAGCAGCGGCCCCGCCCCGGCCCCCGAGGCTCCGGCTCCGTCCCATCCGTTCGGTTTTCTACTTGTGAGTACTGTATCCAGTTCAGAACCAACAGCTTACTTTATTAAAAATTTTACCATTTTATATAAAAAAAGAAAAAAAAAAGACATGTTTAATTATGATGGAGATGGCTGTATTGTAATTAATATTTTGAGATAATCGTGATTTTGAGCTTAAATTATATACAGAAAATGGTCATTTTTGTATGTGTTAAAAGATTGCTATATTACAAACGACTAACTGTACTTTTCGGTTTAATTACGGTATTACTGTAAATAACGCTGAATGAAGAAATATTTACTACTTTATTAACATAGATTGTGAATGTACTTCATGTTTTTTGCAGTATAAAGACTTAAGGAACTTGAAAGCTGCTTCATTTTATGTGCAAAAAGGTACTTCGAAATTCTATTTTAAATCTTATCGACTCAGTGCAATCAATTCTATGGTTAGTTCATTTGCACACGCAGGTTGTATCCTTCCGGTTTTATTTCATGTTATGACACTTCCCCGTAAGGTGCATATTGTGTTTTGAATGCATTTTGCAGACGCTTCTGTACATAAAACAAATTACAGGGACTAAACCGATGCTGTGCAGTGTATAGCAGAGCCATTTTTCGGCTTTGGTGTACCCAACTTTTTCAGTATTTAAAAAAAAAAAAAAAAGTGTTTTGAATAACATTTAAAAAGTCTCTTTATTGTATAAATAATAAAAATGTCACCTTATTGTAATCGGTTTTTGTCATCTTTTGCTACCGAGAGGGATCGGGGGTTCCAGGAAGCGCCGGTTTGTGAGTTACGGGAAGGGAGACGGGCGTTACCGACCTGGCCCCTCGACCCCAGCCCAGGCACCCGGTGATGGCACCTCACTTGTCACAGAACCATAGAACCATTCAGGCTGGAAAAGCCCCCTGGGATCATTGAGTCCAACCACTGACCCTTCTCTGCAAAGATCACCCCTAAACCATCGCCGCCAACCCCACATCTCAACAACCTTTAAAGGGATGAGGACTCAACCACCTCCCTGAGTAGCCCGTTCCAACGGCTGGCTACTCTTTCTGTGCAAAAATTTCTCCTACTGCCCAGTGTAACCCT